CCACCGGTTTCCTGGGTCCTGCTTGTGCGTCCCTAGTTGGACTTCTAGGGTTTTATTGTGTATGTAATAGGCATATGACTGTATCTATATACCTAACTGAATTAAATACCTGTATACCTATAATTACATGATCCTACAGTGGGAAGCCCCGCCAGCCGAGGCGGGCGCGCGCTAGCGTTTACAATTAAATCTGAATTAAGATTTCGGTGCCTCGACAACAAGAAAATGGGCTTAGGTTTGAGGTTTAGGGTTAGGAGGACCCCCCCCACCCTGTAATAGTGGCATAATAGGAATGTAAATGAACACTAATACAATCCTTATTATTCCTTATAGTCACTATTACTGGGTGGGGGGTCCACCTAAGTTTAGGGTAGGGAACCAAGAGGAACATGTTCCTCAAAGCAGTCGTCTGCGCCTCCATGTGATCGCTGCCACCCACCACAAAAAGCCAGGTCAGCGCGTCCTGTGGCCCATAACCACAAGAGATAATCATCGATACGAATGCAAAAGCAATCCATGCAGAACATGTTCCTCCGCTGAGCAGTAAGCCCCAAAATTCCCAAAAAAAAAAAAAACGTATATTAAGTGCCATAATGGGCATATATAGTAATTAAAATGGTTTCAACAATATAGTGATTTAATTTAAGCATCACCGTCGCCTGCAGCGTCGGCGCGTTGCAACCAAGCTTTTGCTGCAGGGACCGGCATGTTGCCTGCAGGGACCACACTTTGGCCATTCAAGATCAAGTCCCGACACCCTTAGTTTTTTTGTGTGGGACCTGTCCCCCTAGGGTTTAGGGTTTAGGGTTTCAGAAAGGACTGCTGTGGCGAGTGTAAGGAAGGCAGCTATGTTTATCGGGATCCCTGTAAGACAGTAAGACAGCCATTCTTCCGTACGCCACAAGAGTCTTTGCGTTTTCCAGTACTGCCCCTGGACTCAGAAAGCCTCATAGCCTGAGTCCATGCCAGTTTCGCTTCCCTTCCCTATAACACTTTAGGGTTTAGGGTTTAGGGTCTAGCTATAACCCTTCATATTATGCCCCACACACCACCCAAGCAATAAAAAATAAGAGGATTTTAGTAAACCCGACACCTCAAAGTGGACCGTACCATCGTCATGTGATAGTTATAGGATTCTTCTTAATGGAGTTGGGGTGACTAAAGGCCCTTATTATAATTTCCTACATGACCCCAGTCTCCATGTCATGTTCCATCTTCTTGTCCATTTGATTCTCCATTCCGAAGGTTGGGTAACTAAAATCCGCAACCCTAAACCCATCTAAACCCTAAACACAAAACCGTCCTTCAAGCAGGGCAGCGATCGGTGGCCGGCGAAGCGGGCTGTCAGCAGCGCTAGGTGAGCTGGTTCCTTGCAGGTCTTTACCGCTCAGGGATCCCCTATTAGGGTTTAGGGTTCAGGGTTCAGGGGTTTGGAGCCTTGGGTTTGGATCCATGAGCCATAGAATTAGGGTCTAGGGTTTAGGGTTTAGGGAAAGTTGCACTGCACTAGGGTATTTGACCCCGGGTTTCAAAGATTAAGGCTGCAAATTCCGCAGTTCAGGGTGTAGGGTCGAGGGCTAGTGCGGGCCCTCAATGAGGTTCCCAAGATACGGATACATCCATGTATATGTGTATGTAGAGGATGGAAAGAAAATGGAAACCCTGATGCTATTTGAGGTTCATGTTTACCATCATGGAAATTCAACGGAAAATGAAATTGCAACTTGGGTAATATTGCAGTTTAAGGAACTTAAACCCAGCTTTCGTGGCATGGATATGTATGCATAATTTTTCATAAATGTGTTTTCCGTATTATGGTAATCCCCGCTGCCCAGCCTCCAGCACATCGCGCAGCGTAGCTTCAAATTTGCATGGTGTCCGGAGCAAGGCAGTTTGGAAGCGCCGCCTGGCAATGATACAGGGTTTAGGGTTTAGGGCTTAGGGTTTGAAGAGGGATAACTGGGATGCTGTGTTCTGAGGGGTGCAATGACATGAATGAGAGTGATATAACTGGAGAAGTTATGTGGGTTTTGTCGTAAGTATATTTGCCTAGTTCTCCTGCCAGTAGGCTGCTCCTTCTTATGCACCGGTTACCACACTACCACATCCCTGTAATCTCTTAGATCTATCATGAAAAATTGGTTGCATAGTTCCTTCTACAATATAAACTAGAAACAATTCCTAAAGGTACAGGAGATGAAGAGGGAACGTTCCATTGCCTGGCTGGACCGATGCGCTCCCTCATTTTTGAATATTTGGGGATTTCCCAGAATTAGGGGTACCATTTAGCGGGTCCCCATATTTAGGATTGTAATGTTTTGGGGTCTATATTGGGGTCCCCTTATTTAGGGCAATTACCATTTCGGCGGGAATATTGGGGAGCGAGAGGGTTCAACATTACAGTGGGTAATTGCGTCTGACACTTCCATGACTTGGCACTTTCGAACCACAGCTCACACACACATTGGTGGTTGTCAAAATTCTGATCCCTTTTTCAATACCCTCAACATTAGGTGCCATATTATAATAGGGATACACAAAGGAACCATAATTTTGACAACCACCCACATGCAAATAATCACACCCAAACCCCTAAACCCTGAACCCTGCAAATAATCTTGGAATCTTAGGACCAAGGATGTGACGTAGTGATGGAAGCTCACGTCTTACTGGGACTAGGAAGCATTTAAACCCAGGCATCTAAATATTCAGGTAGCAGTTCTTGTTGTACAGAAGTTAAATACATATAGTTGAATGCTTCCTAGGGTTCCTAAACGTCCACCTTGCCTGTGCAGCGCAGCTGCGAACGTGTCCGGCCGCAATAGGCGTTGCTCAAAGAGGCACCTTGGGCAGGGTGGCTTGGAGCGCAATCGTTTGGCAGGATCCTAATCCCAATTAATGGAAAAGAAAATGGAAACTACTATAGTGGGGTTATATATATATACCCTAGTAGTCCCTTTTTGGGTACCCTAAATATGAAGTAGCAGAAGGATGACGAATGAAGCATGTTCCTCAACTCGGCAAATCAACAGGTTTGTGAGTGAGGCGCTCCATCAGCGCCCCTTGCTCCTGACGGAAAGAAACAATCACATTACACAAGCACGTTGCTGGGAAGTGGGTAGTCACTAATAGCTACATACGAGTCTGCGCATTCCACGAAGCTTGGCTGCATGACTGTAGAGCTTGCGTTCTGCCCGTTGCACGTGCTCCGAGCCAGTGATAGCTTACTGCAGGCAGCAGTGAAATTGTTTTTTAATAAATGGGCGGCGCCAATGTAGACTCCAATGCACTACTATCCGTTCATTAAGGACTGCCAAAATGGCCCCCTGATTATTTTTTGAAACCCCAAACTCTGCCACGGTTGTGCGTATGACCCTCATACCCTGGCTGCAAAGCAGCACCTGGCCTTGCAGCAATCCTTCAAAATTCACAACGAAGCCCTAACCCTACATAACCCGCCTGTATAACCCCTCTACGAACCGAAGTCCCCTTTGAAGGTACATGACGCCTCTCCTCGCGGACCTGCAACAAAGCCTGCCTCGAGCGGGCAGGGAGGTTCAGGGTTTAGGGTCTAGGGCTTAGGGTTTTCCAAGGCAGGCGCACTCAGGTCTCAATCTCGCTTCGACTGTAATCCCCTTAAACCTATATGCAAAACGATACTTCCTTAGGGGCGGCTAATAAACTGTTAGGGAGATAGGAGTCAAAAGATCGCTTCGAAGCCTTGATCTTAAGACACAAGCACGGTGACTCCCCCCGGCCCTTGCCCTACTTGGCTGCCTCAATGCCCGAAAGTCAGCGCGATAGCTTGGGCTTGCCGGTGAAGCCATGATAGTGGGCCACGCGGCACGTCCCTTGTCCAGCACAACTATAGCTTGTTGTTGAAGCTAGCTGGCATTTGCCATGCTACGGCCCCTTGGAGCATAGGTCGATGCTGAAAGCGTATGGCTTACACTAACGAGAAGAGGCCGACGGGGCACAAGTGGTAGTTTCCCTAAATAGGGGGACTCCAACATGGACCCCAAAACACTGCAATCCGTATTATGGGAACCCCAACAAGGTAACCGTAATTTTTGGAAAACCTTAATTACACTAAATAACACCTTCCATTTTCTTTTACATAATCTCAATATCTCCCCTAAACCCTAAACCCCAAACCCTAAAATCAACCCCAAGTCTGCTTTGAATCCACAGCACTGAACTCTCCCCCTGTTTGGCTGGCGGAGGCAAGGCGGCTGGCAAGAAGAGGCTGGTTTAGGGTTTGGGGTTTAGGGTTTGGGATTTAGGGTTTAGGGTTTAGGGTTTGGGGTTTAGGGTTTAGGGTTTGGGGTTTGGGGTTTAGGTTGAGTCCTGCCCCCACCCATCAAGAGTCCAGAATAGGGGTCATATTGAGGGCTCTACACTATCAAATTATACATAGTACCCAAATCTTAATCAGTGAGCATTCCCCAAAGTTTCATGTTTAGGCGATGATACCAACAGTCTGAGCGCCTCCTGCAATCAGCAGCTCTGAGCTCGATGCGTCGCTCCCCTTTTTTTGAAATGCCCCTGCTTGTTCCTCCAAAACGTATGCAACACGGAGACCGCTGGCCTCAGTTCTTCTTCTTCTTCTCGAGCTTACGCCTGTAGAAGCTCAGCTCCTCGCCCTCAAGAACGTAGCCATCCGCGCGGCCACACTGGCCAGGACGAGAGGCAATGCATGCTAACAGTCGTCCGCTCTGGAACTGCTCCTCCAGATTCAGGTCTAGCTTCTGGTTGGCAGCGCGGGCCTTCTGCTTTGCGAGGACGTGTCGGCTCTTGTGCTCCTCAGGTGCCTCCTCCTTTTTCTCCTCTTTCTTATCCGCACCCTTCTTCTTCTTGCCCAGGTCCATGCCATACTTCTTCAGGTACCACTGCATGAACGGGTGGGCATCAATCTGCACAATGGTGTTCTTCAGCAGCGTCTTGGTTCGCACCAACTCGTTGCTTGTTGCGTTGTACACAACGTCCAAGATCCTCACTTTCTTGGTGACATTCTCGGAGCCCCACGCGTAATTGCCCGTATCCAGCCTCAGCGCCCGGTACTTCTTGTTGCCGCCGCGGCAGCGCACCACGCGCACACGCTTGTTCCCCAGCTTGCAGGGAGTGGCTGGCCGGCCCATCTCATACTTTCGCTTCTTGATGGAGACATTGCTGCGACCTCCGGTCTTGTAGTGCTTGTGACGGGAATCGCGCGAGATTCCCATGC